GCCCGGAGCTGTTCAGCGCACCATGGTAGTTTTTCGGTCACAAATGCAATGATGTCGGCGTACATGAGTGCGGGCACTGTCAGCCCTTGCGGTATGTATCGCACCGAAGCGGCCCGCATAATGTCGGCCACTGACCCGAGCGCTGCCCCAACCACTGCAGTCATGTCCTGTTCGGTGGGCTCTTCTCCGTAGTCGTTGGCCGACTCGGACTCAGGCATTGCTGTGTATGTGAGGGGTATGTCATTATTATGTAAGTGAGTGAGTGAGTGAGAGAGAGAGAGAGAAAGAGAGAGAGAGAGAGCATACAAAAACAATAGCGAATATAATACCCACTATTACTTTTATTACATATATTATTTTTATTTTTATATTAAAGCCTAATTAAGTAAATTGATCGTATAGTTTGCAGTATTGAATTACAATCTTATTAATTAATTATATATTTATCTAGCAATGTAATATATAATAAAATATGCATGTTAAATGCTGACAAAATACTTACACATGATAAATTCCATAATTTTAGGATCCATAATATAAACTGGGTGATATTAGTTCACAGAAAGTAATAATATATTTTTAAAATATGGAAAATATTTTCACTGACTTAATCTAAAAATAGACCAAATAATTTCAGTTTAATCTATAAACAAAGCAAAAAATAACTTATTGAATCTGTTATGGTTCAAAAACAAGTTAGCAAAATATTTATATACTCTAAAAATGTGAAGAAAGTGTACTGTATTTTCCAGCCTAATGTAATTTCCCAGCCTTGATCACATCATCCTGAGTGGTGAGATGAGCATGCGTGTTTTGTCCTGGTGCACAGTGCACCTACAAACAGCTATGTTATACAGTGCTGTGCGTTACAGTGTAGTAGTTGTAAAGTTAATTGCAATTAACTGTAACTATGATTTTGCATCGCGATAAGCAATTGGCAATTGCTAAAAGTGTACTCGTCCGGTCGCGCGACCAAAACTGTACTAAAGTACCATCTAGTTGTAAAGTGCAGCTAATTAAGCATTATCATACATCTTTAATTAAACTAAAAAGCGCGTTTTTATGATCATATTTTACTATAAAATACTTTTAGTGCAATTTTAATCAGACATTTCATGATACGTTATTTACAAATATATTCAATAATTGAATATTGAGTAAATTATTTGTTTTGTTCGTGTATTGCATAGGATTATTAGATGAAAATATTGAATGTGGTGATGAAATAATAAACATTCTGTGTGAAATTGTCAAGTTTAAATGTGATGAAATTAATTGTGTACATTTGACCATTATTTTATCTTATGGGTTTAAATTATTTGAAAAATGAGATATTTTTGCCTATTTTTTCAAAGA